TTTTGTATAAGTAGCAAGTAATTTTTTTAATGTCATTTTAGTTGTCATCATTAGTGCAATCCATCCTTTATTATCCTGAATGGTAACATTAGCTCCAGCAGACAGTAAACTGTGTACAATGTCCTCATGTCCTCTTTCACAAGCTAACATTAGTGCTGTCTTACCTTCTTCATTAGTATGATCAATATTAACAGTTTCTAGTTGAAGAAGGAACTCTACTGCTTCATTATTACCAGCTGTGACTGCCTCAAGGAGAGCTAGTTCAAAGGTAAAGTTCATATTCTCATCTTCTTGAAGGACAGGATGATCATTAATGTATAAACTAAATATACCAATGAGACGCATAAACTGTAACTTTCCTCCAGTATGTTCTATTAGACTATCAGCTGTAGAATCAAGCACACTGTATTTAATAACTACTGATCCAGTAATAATTGTTATATATTTCAACAACGATTGTGCAAATTTTACTGGAAGCAAATGTTGAATTAGAAGAGATAGATTGCTTAGATTACTAGCATACCATGGATTATTAAGCTTTATAATAATATGAGACATATTATTTATATCTGGAATATGCTCCTGGTATATTTGTATTAATGACTGGTGAAGATGTGTCACATTACTGGAAGATCTAAATGTGTCGGCTTTTTTCTTGTGATTCTGTAGTTCACTCACAATACTCAGCTTCTTTACACCAAAAGTGACATCACTCAGAAATCTTTGACTCAAAACTACCATTAAGTTGCAGTCAATAAAATCATAGTATGGATGAATAATTTTGAATATTTCATCTAATGATGCATTTGTTAACTTGTCACTCCAGTTCATGTATGCCTCAATCCATCTTGTTAAATCAACAAGTAGCTTAGGATCTGAGGCTTCTTTCTCATCGAATGCTGTTCGTACTTCTGTGAAAAGATCAGTAAATGATTTATTGAGCTCATCCAGTGTATGTGAAACTTCTTCTTCACCTTCCTTTGTCTTGAACATTACTTTTTGTGTAGTACCCACAGCCGTTGTGTTACTAATGTTAGGTACTGAAGAATGTCCTTCAATAATTTTTTTGATATTTTGTGCAAGAGTGTTTTCTCTTCTAATTGTCAATGCAGTAATGACATCACTCCATTTTGCCTCAGGATAAATAGAGAGCCATTTTGAAAATAATTTCCTCTTTTGGTCATTCAAATTGGAATTTTCAGTTTCAATTACTGATACATCATGTTGTGTTATTCCTGGTAAGCAGTAGCCAAATAACTGCCAATCTGTAACAAGCGGTTCAAGCCATTGAGTTAATAACGAAACATCAGGTCGATCATCAATCATAGGGCCAGGATTGAGTTCAATATCTCCTGATAAGAGCAGAAGCATACGTAGACAAACAATCAAACAGAGATCATTGTAAATCAGGTTAGAACTGCTGCCTCCAGGTAAGACTACTGACTGGAGGTAATTTGTATCAGTAACAGTAACACCAGTAGTACATTGTACTTGGTAGCAGTTACCTAATAATAAAATACCAGTAAATATACAAGTACAAAGTTGCAATTGTTGTTTACCTGTTGGAGGAATCATCAAGATGTGTCTTAATAAAGAGAGAGAGAGAAAGAGGAGGAGTAAAGCAATAAGAGACAGAGCTGCTGGCAGTTTAGATGTCTTCTCTCCTGGTGTAGTACTGCCTGACTTTCTATCTACTGCAGCTTTGAATGAGTGAGAGTGGCGGCCATTAGCTGGTCTACTGGAGGCAGCTTGACAGTAGTGCCACAATCCAATACTTGCTCTAAATTGAGAGACATCAATCATAATGCTTGTCACAGAGAGATGGCGGATCAGTCCTTCCAATGAAAAATTCGTTGATTCAACAATTGAGGTCACTGGCACAGGTGTAGATCTATGCTAACCACAAAATCTATACTAAAGCCACAACTAAACTATCAGTAACTACCTGTATAGTAAAGTAAAACACCCCTAAAATCTCCTTATAAGGGCATCTACAGATTTTTGTATATACATACCAAAACTCCACAACACATGGTGTTGATGTTTCAGTTGTATGCTGTAATGTTAATGACCAGGATTGCCTGATAAAAGGAGGAGCATACGTAGAGAAATAGTTAAATAGAGATCATTCTAAATAAAACATGCAGTAAAAATGAATAAATAAACTAATTTATAAAACTTTGTTCTTATTGTTATTCTGTCCATAGATTATTAACACAAATCCTAACACAATCAGTGAAAACCCACACCACCACATGAGGTTCAGTGCTTCTCCAAACAATGCCCATCCAAACACACTCTAACAACAGGAGAGATTTTAAAATGTACATTGCACAAGTAAATACAATAAATGTATTATTACATGTACATACATACAAGTAAAATAAAGTTATTATCATTCTACATGTAATTACAGCAAAGATCAATAAAAAGAATGCTATGATGTACAGTAATGTTAACTTAGTATAATTTTAGTTAAGTTAACTATATAGTCTATAATGCTAAGTACCGTATAGTGGAAAATTTGGAGGGAGTTAAATTTGGCAAATTTGGAGTTTTGATGCATTTGCGAAAATAAAAATCCACCATTTTGAGCCATTATGCAATGGCATGTGACCACAAATTCACAAATTTACCAAAATAAAATTCACCAGTCATCAAAATTTAGCGATTCACCAAATTTAACTCCATCCAAAATTTCCCACTATACGGTATTTCCAACAATCATTATTTTACTTACAGAGAAAACGAAGTTGCAAGTGCTGACAGTAACAGTGGCCTGTGCAGTGCTCGAGTGCTTCTGTAGTGCTCTTGCAAATAACACAAACATAATGACATTGCATACACCCACCAACATCAGGCAGAGCAACTGTAGTACCTTCAGTAGTAACTCCTGATTCTAATCACAAGGAGAAAATTTGCATAATACATAATGTAGCATAGTAGTTAGTATACTACAGATAACCAAGTCAAATCATCATCTACTCTTACTTCTACACTATCTTAATGTATTTCAATTTCAATTAATTAAAGCTTCATATTAATGTATTGTATACATGTAGCTGGTAATGTGGATGGACGCAAATTTAGTGAATTTGAATAGTCAATTAAATCCAATAATTTAAAACCATTTATGCACATGCTCAATGGTACACGCCTAAAAGTTCACCAAACCATAACAACAAGGCATAGCAATTCGTCAAAATTTCTACTCCAAAAATACCAGTTACATACTCTTTTTCAACTTCAAAAATTTAATAAAAAGACATAACTTTGACGCTAATTTCTGAAAAAAATTTTACCATTATGTCATGCCCGTAGCCCAAATTTAAAATTAAAAGATTACTTTATTAAAAGTTGCTGCATTTAATAATAATAATTATGGGCTTACTTCTGTACATTTATCATTTGATAAGCACAACAACAGTTTCAGAGTTGCATTTCCTTCTTCCAGTCCAATTTTACTAAAAACAGAAGCAAGGGATGCCAGAAGACCGGATAAAACAGAATTTGCTTCTAAGAGACTCGCCATTTTTGCAAAGCCCAGCCACACCCAAGAACTAGTGGGTGTACATGGTAGAGGGTTTAAAAATTTGGCTTAAAAACCCTGCAAACGTACCATAACTATGTAACTATCTAAAGCTATACAATTTATAACTTTCCTTTAAAATCATATCATGCTTTTAATGATAAAGGAAGAGCATTTGCTTATGCATAAATATTTTTGCTTTAAAAAATCAAAATTCAAAATTCTGCTAGCTTATTGAAGTAGGCGTGGCTAGTTATAAATTTCTCACATGACTGGTTAATGATATTCAAGTTATCACTAGTTCGGCCCTTCTCTTCCTCCTCATTTCTCTCCATTACACAGCCTTTTTTGAAAGACCAGCATGTCCTACTCTTACCTTTTCAAGTACATCATCATTGGCGATACAGGTACGAGCCGGGAGACAAGCTTCACTTTCAAACCGGAGCCTTTTTTGTACCTTTTGTTCACTATCCTCACTTACTAGGTGTGGGGAAATCCTGTCTACTCCTTCAGTTCACTGACAAGAGGTTTCAACCAGTACACGACCTCACTATTGGTAAGAAAGAGAGGAAGAGAGAAGGAGAGAGTTTCATTTATAAATAAGAAATGACATACATGTAAAGAACAGGGAGGTGTGACCTACCCTTGTACTTACTTTCAGTTAGCATAGGTTAAGGTTAGGAGTTAGGGTTTAGTTTTTAAGCTATATACACTTTCTAAAGTGTCATCTTTTTATGTGATTTGAATCAGGAGCTGTCTTGTGTCCCTTACATTTTGAATGAGTAATTTTAGATAAGAGGATAATGTTTGACCTTTTATCAAATTTTATGTGGAGCACGATTATTATGTATTAATGGTGTATTATTTTGTATTTTCATTTGTTATTGTTAAGTGTAGTATATTACTGGCTACACTGGCTCATTTATTGCTTTTATGCTTTTATCCAGTGCCAAGTGTGATCATAAGCAACAAAATGGAGTCACACATAAATACATGTACATGTACGCGTTAATCAATTTAACATTAAAATCATGACTTACATGTATCAAGAGTAGATAATGTAGGTGATTTGGTACTAAATCTAAGCATTGTTATTCTAATTTTGGTTCTGCTTGAATCAATGAAGCATGTCCTGCATGTAGTAAGGGCTGGATGGACCATTTGTAATTTAGTTTTTATGGACTGAAATTTTGAGCCACACATCATGTGCTGTATTACTGATAAAAGTCTAAAATTAAAATAACTTTTATGTAGTTTTTGAATTGTTTGTACTATTAATGTTATTATAGCTTGTGTTTCATAATATCATTGAATAGTGTAATCACACATTTATCTTCATAATTTATAATTATGTATAATAAATACAAAGAATAAGCAATCAATCTTTTGTATTGACATAAATTTGGCAGTGATAGGAATAATATTAAGAGTTTGTATTATTGTTGTGCTGTTATGATATTACAAATGATCATAGCCTATATTGTGAAGGATTTGTATGACTGCATATCACTTTAATTTGGTGGAGTTTTATTTTGGCGATAGGCAGTCTGCAAGTGGAATTGCCAATATTAAAACCCCCAATCATTAATGTTCATGCTCAGTAATGCACATATACATGTACATGTACGTAAAAATTACCAAATTAAAAAACATCAATTACAATTTTACAGCAAAGTCACCTAAATAAAGTGCCATATGGTATTTGCACGTCCATGTATATGTACATGTACATTTAACATGTACATGTGTTGATTCGAATAGCCATCATTCTTGTTTTGTTTGTTAGGGGTGGAGTTTGGAGCCAGAATGATTAACATTGATGGGAAGCAGATAAAGCTTCAAATATGGGATACAGTGAGTCATGGGTGTGGCTGTTAGAGGGTGTGGTTTACTAAGGTGTGTTATACAGGCTGGACAGGAGTCGTTTCGTTCCATTACAAGGTCCTATTACAGAGGAGCAGCAGGAGCATTACTAGTGTATGATATTACCAGGTTAGAAGGAAAAGTGATTAGAGAGAGGGAAAGAGGAGCATTTGTATGGTTATGTTACAGTATTGTGTGGTTGTACACTATCTTTCTGTTTCCTTTCTATTATGTATTTTTCCTATTATATTCTTTTTGTATTCTTTTCTCTCTCTTCCTTCCCATTCCTCCATTCCTCACTTTTATTTTCTCCTTTTCTACTCTCTCCTTCTTTCCCTCTTGCTTTAATTTTCTCTCTCCCACTCCTCTCTCTCTCTCTCCCTTCCCCCTCTCTCTCCCTCCTCTCCCTCCCTCTCCTCTCCCTCCCTCCCTCCCTCTCCCTCCCTCCCTCCCTCTCCCTCCCTCTCCCTCCCTTTCTCCCTCTCCCTCCCTTTCTCCCTCCCTCCCTCCCTCTCTCTCTCTCCCCTCTCTCTCCCTCTCTCCAGACGAGAGACATTTGAACACCTCACCTCGTGGCTGGATGATGCCAGACAGCACTCGAGCTCTAACATGGTCATAATGTTGATTGGAAACAAAAGGTATCATTCATTTATCATTTAGTGTTTATAATAAACCACTCACACTCACAACAGTCTACTCATTATACATGTACCATATATTGGGTATATTTCAATGCATTAATAATTTCGAAATAAACATTAAGAAATTTTAAAATATGCGGATAAAAAGGAATAGAAGATATGTGGTATTGTGCAGTTATTATGAACACGTGGCTTCATAACTATCCATGGCTTCTAACTCAAAGGCCATAAAGAGCCTTCTTTGCCAGTTAGAAGTGTTGTTAAGGTTGATTCAGAAGTGGAGAAATCAGCAAATGCTTCGATTTACTTACCAGGCCAGGTGGTTGATGAAAATAATAGCAAGTAAAATATTTTCAGAATATAAAGGGCTTCCGAGTTTTTCCATCATTGAACTTTAAATTTATACCACTTTTCATGCATTGAAATATACCCAATATATGGTATGTCTTATAAATAGCTATGTACAGTATGTACATGTACATGTATAATACAGTTATTGTCCCAATTTTCCGACAGAAGCCTAACTATTTTTTATTATATTAATAATTAATTTTTTGATCATTATGTGTAATCTGAGTTTATATTAGCTTATCAATTACAATTGGTATATCTTATCTGTACAGTGTAATAATTATGATATCTATTTACAATAGTCCCAAGCAAAACCTTTAAAGAAGCAGTTTTTCCTTCATTAGTGCATAGAAGTGTTTATAAGCTTTGATGTTATAAGTATAGACTTTTGTTACATGTACTGTATAGGGGCAAATTTTGGAGGGAGTTAAATTTGACAAATTGCTAAATTTTGGTGATTGGCAAATTTTAATTTGGTGAATTAGTGGCCACATGCCATTTAGCATGCTTATAATGGCTCAAAATTGCGGATTTTATTTTGACAAATGGCTATCAATTTAATTCCCTCTAAAATTTCCCGCTATACAGTACAATGTTTTTCTGCATATTGTATTAACTCTTAAGGATCAATATCAAAAGTAGTGCCATATTATTTTCTCATTGGGTTTGTCATCATAGACTTTAGTACATAACAGTGTATGCTACTGTATATCTTATGCTAATAATAATGATAATAATAATAATCATCATCATCATTGTGTACGTGTCACATCATCACATGAATTGTCATGCTCTCATTATCTGCTGACTCATGTACATATACATGTGCTCATGCTGACCTTGTGTCACATGAATATCATACAACAGCCTATCATGCAATTATGAATGATGTACATGTACATGTATACCTGCATACATGTACATGTACTTAACCAATCACACACAAACACTCACTAAATTACTACTAGAGTCATCACAGTTGATTACACTGTATATACACTTTGAGTCACTGATTAATCATGTGCTCATTTACTTTATCTTTCACTTACATTCATAGTACATGTACATGTATATGTACATGTATTATTCATTGTTCTACCATGCCTACTTGCAATTGACCAATCAGATTGCTTCATACGAGGTAAATATAATTGCTTATTTACCTCGCTGAGGTAAATATGGCCAACTTATTAAAGTTGCCAAACAGGTTTTCTTAGTTATTTACCTCGTGGACAGCCCGGGAGCAAACAGGTTTCTAATTATTTACCTCGAACATAGATACATAAAAGTTCCTGGTACATATCTATGCCTCGAAGCACAGCTATGGCGTCTGGAGTAATCATTTTTAGCAGAGAAAGCAGCAAAGAACATTGAAAAGAAAGAAATAGAGGCTCAAAAGCATTGGGCCATGTGATCAACTTCTTAATGGGTGGAGTGGAATTGGAAAGGCGTGTTCTGGGCGTGTTTTACTGTACACACATGGCGCGAGTGGAGAAGAGATTTTCCCGTTTCTTTTAAGAAGATACAAAGAAGTAAAGAGGCCTTGTGCTTTTATAAAGCCTTGCTAATCATGGGCAGTTTCTTAACTACAGATTTGGCATGGTAGAAGTCTGTTATACACCTCGGTCTTGGTTGCTATGGGTTTATTTACCTCGGGACTGCGTCCCTCGGTAAATAAATTCCATAGAAACCTCGACCTCGGTGTATAACCTATACATAGTATTTATAAGGTGTATTAATTCATTGATAGTATTCACTATTGTGTTATTATAAAACAAAAAGTCAATCCTAATAGACATTAATTGATCATAAAATGTATCATTCATTATTTTCTTGAATTTTATTTGTTGTAAATAATTTTATTCTTGACAAATACATGTACATGGTTTTTTCTAAAAATGGCTCGGACATCACCCCAAATTTTTATTGCATTTTCTGATACATATTGATGTCCTAATGCTGTGTAGAAATTTTGAGCTGATTCCGACTGAAATTTTATGAGTTATGGCTGTTTTTTTAAAACAGCCAATTTTAAAAAAATACCCAAGGCTATAGCCTATGGTTTTTTCCAAAAAATAGCTCCGAAATCATCCCAAATTTTTATTACATTTTCTGATACATATTGATGTCCTTATGCTGTGTAGAAAGTTTGAGCTGATTCCGACTAAAATTTTTCGAGTTATGGCCGTTTTTTAAAAACAGCCGATTTTTGAAAATACCCAAGGCTATAGCCCATGGTTTTTTCCGAAAAATAGCTCCGAAATCACCCCCAATTTTTATTACATTTTCTGATACATATTGATGTCCTTATGCTGTGTAGAAAGTTTGAGCTGATTCCGACTGAAATTTTTTGAGTTATGGCCGTTTTTTAAAAACAGCTGATTTTCGAAAAATACCCAAAGCTATAGCCCATGGTTTTTTCCAAAAAATGGCTCTGAAATCACCCCTAATTTTTATTACATTTTCTGATACATATTGGTGTCCTTATGCTGTATAGAAAGTATGAGCTGATTCCAATAAAAACTTTCCAAGTTAAACCCTTTTAAAATATTATTCCAATTTCTAAGAGTTGATTTTTTTACAGTATTTGTGTTAACTACAATCATTATATTAATTTTTTTAGTGATCTTGATGCTAAAAGAGACGTAAAGTTTGAAGAAGTAAGAGAGAGAGGAAGAGAGTAATTTCAGAAAGAGAGACAGAAAGAGATTAGAATAGAGATACATGTTCCTTTAATTTCTCTCTCTCTCTGTTAGGGTCTTGCATTTGCTCAAGAGCACGGACTTGTATTTATGGAAACGTCAGCAAAGACTGCAGCTAATGTTGAAGAGGTACACCAACAACTTTTACATGTACATACATGTACTGTATTTTGTTCACATCATACATATACATGACATGTACATAATAATGTATGGTTTTACACACAATTAAATGTGTATGTACATGTATGTGTACTAAGATACATGTATCTCTTTTTAACACTACATTAAGTGATGCATAGTTTAATAAGGCTAATGACCTCTTTGTGAATTACAAAAAGTCTATTAATCAATTATGCTAAGAAGACTAAAATTCTTCTCACAGGAGAGCAGATAAAATATACATGTACATAGTATACATGTACATGTACATGCTTTAACCTGGATGTCTTCTATCTCTCATCATTGTGTATATTTTTAGGCGTTCATAAACACAGCAAAGGAAGTTTATAAGAAGATACAAGATGGAGTTTTTGATATAACAAATGAAGTAAGTTTAGCTAGTCTGTTACTGTTTGGCCAGTATCTACCAAGTGTGTACATGTATAATGTTATTTTACATGTACATGTTACTAATTTAAATGAATTACCATATAGCCAAAAATTTTCAAGGCTTAAAATTTCGTGAATAATGAAATTTATGGAGAAATTTTAAATTCCGTGATAAATATTTTTGTGATTTTATTTTAATAATAATAATGACCACGCCTTATTTAATTAAAACATGGCAGATTCAATATTTGAGACGGACTCTTGTGTCAAGGGGCACCATGTCTACAAATCAGTGTGGACACCAGTGATGGGGAAGATCATCTTTGACCTAGGTAGTATGCTTAAAATAGCAATACAGAGTAACAGTAACATCAGCTTGACTGAGAACACAACTTGACACTCGCTTGACACGAGGGCACATTTATTAGTAAGGCGTGGTTGACCACGCCTCTCAATTAATATTTATTTTCGGGGGTTTAATTTTTTGTGATGCAAACAGTGATCACGAAAATATGAAAATTTATTCCTCACGAAATTTTTTGGCTATACGGTATTACATGTACATTTATAATCGCATGTCCATGTTTGTGTCTGTGGTTTATGACACAGTTTGTAAGTGTAGTACTACTGTATGGCTCTCAGCCATCATCCCCTCTACATTGAATACCCAGTGAGTCCCACTAGTAGTTCACCATCACTTTCATTATTCCTTTAGAGTGAGCTATTGCTTTATACCATAATGTACATGTACATGTACGTTGTAGTAGGATTTATTGAAGGGTTAAATTTTGGTGATTTTAGTATCTTATGTCTGTTATCATAGTTCTGCCTATGGTGGTTGGGGGTGGTCGGGACAACCACCTCAACAAATGAACCAACCAGTTCATCACTTAGACTAACCATCCAATTAATACTAATAACCATACATAAAGCATGATATTATAGTCTACTAGTATGGTGTACATTAATTTAAAAGGAACAATATTAGTCTCCAACCACCTCTAATTTTTTTCTAAGCAGAACCCTGGTTATAATAGGCAAGTTTTTTGTACTTTTTTATCATCAAGTTTTAATCTATAACCAATTAATAGTATACTAATGAGATTAATTCGGGTGTACTATTATTTTTGTCATGATCACCAATTACTAATTTATTAACTTAATTTATTAATTTATTTTATTAATTAATTTGTAGGCTAATGGTATAAAGCTTGGTCCCCAGCATCAAGGAGGAGGAGGGGGAGGTCAGAGAGCAGCATCAGCTGATCCTAATAAAGCTCAGGGAGGAGGCGGAGGCTGTTGCTAAGGACAACCAGTTCATTAATATTATTATTATTATTATTATTATTATTATTATTATTATTATTATTATTATTATTATTATTGATGTTGTCAAATAAATAACAACCTTTATTATTATTATTATTGTTATTACTATTATTATTTTGTGGTAATATCATTTATTACCATTATTATTATTATTATTAATGCTAAATATAATTGTGTTTTACAAACACTTGCACGTTATTAATGCATTACACAGCATTACAAAGACTAGGCATCATCATTGCCCTTTATGTTTTTGATGCTGTGCCCACAGGTATATGTATTTGTGTGATTGTAAAGTAATTGTAAATGGGCAGATTCTCAATGTAATGTCATGTGATCTAGACTGCATGTTTGTGCAATTTTATAGCATGGCAAAAACGTATTGTCTTCTCAGTGCATATGATCATGCATGATTTTAATATTGTGAGCCCCCACCCAGTAAATTAATTGATTGGCGTATTATCCAAACCTATAGAGTACTTGCAAGTCGGCCATAGTGCAGATATCTCTTTCAGAAGGAGCTCTCTTATAACGTCAGGAATGCATCTTAATCTTGTTTCGGTCACTCATCTTCTTTTGCTGTTCCTCTCCCGCTGTTCTTTCGGCCTAGAGTCAATAGATGTACTTCAGCCTATCACTAAGATATCTCCTGCTAGGAGAGTGGGTACTACTGATGACTCGTTTGGATATTCAGTCACTGTGCATCAACTGTTTGATAGTCCGTCCGGTATGAACATGGAAGATATACTCAACCAAACTCTGTGAGTCGGGCTCTCAACTTTACATGTGGGATTTGATTTTGCAAATCAAAACACATGATCCCATGCACCATCTTGTTTTACTGTTATAATTTTTTCATTTTCATGGATTTTAATTTCACGAATTTGCAAAAAGTCAAGTTCCTCAAAAGTTTTTAACTAATATGATATAAAACCTATAGACATGGAATAAGTTTAATCTTAATTCTGGTTTATGAATCATTTTATTATCGACAAAGGCAGCTGACTTGTTAGAATTGTTATATATAATATCAATTCAGAACCTTTTCAAATGTATAAAAATTTTGTAACAGACCATCTCTCGCAACTCCTATTTCCCCTCTGGCAGCCAGTGGCTTGTATTTTTGACACATAGCCTGTAGTTTGTTATTTTACAAGTTTCTTTTTTCATCACTATATGTTTTCTTTGTCTCATCAAGTTTTTGTTGTTTTGCTTGCACAGATTTATATTATTATAATCAGCTAACTCTTGTTGTTACTACAATAGCATGTTTTACTAAGTGAGTAGATGCTTTAAGTACTAGATCTATCTAATTTCATTAGGTGACAAAGAAATGTGTTTAATACAAATTGGAATGTCAATTGATGTATTGGTACATGTATTGTGTGACACCCCTTTAATTATCTGCATTATAATATATAAAGTAAACTATAAACCTAGTTGATTATAGTCATGCATCATGCAGGCTGTTGTTATACAGGCTTTTCTTGATGTTAACTTTGTTGTTGTTTATTGTTAACTCAGGCTGTTGTTGTTGTTAACTTTCCTCCTTTCTATTCTTATACATTTCCTCACAGTATAATGGTTGGTGCTCCTCGTGGTGCTTACCCAGGTGGTCTGGAATATACTGAAGTACCACCAACTAACTTAGCATGTCGTCAGTTTTATTCATCCAACTCACTTCCTACCAACATGGAGGACATACTTGCTTGTTATAATCAAACTGGTATGCACAATAAGACAGGACTGGTGTATCAGTGTTCACTATCCTCTGGGTCTTGTACTGCTCCTCTTGGTAATGGAGACCCTGAAGCACCTGATGGACTCCTGTTTGATAGAGTTGGTTAGAGTACCCAATTTATTGATCATAATTTTAATATGCTCATGTAGGAGATATTGATAAATATACTAATGGCATCAGTGATAATTTCGCTGAACTTTTCTTTACACAAAGCAAGGAAGGACAGCAGATGGGAGCTACTGTTTATAGTGAAGATGGATATTTTGTAGTAATTAGAAGCACACACATTGTAGCACTCATTCATTTTCTTCCTTTGTCCTTTTTGTTGCTTGAATGTATCATTTTTACTGTCCTTTTTGCTAATAGGCTTGTGCTCCATTATGGGAGTTTACTGATCTTCCTAACAGTGATAATTCTCAGCCAAGAGGTCAATGTGTTTATTCTGGTCGTAGCTTAAAGAATTTCCTTAGAATAGATCCATGTTGTAAGTTTATTATCTTTCTATATTTTACAGTATATATAACTAGGAACTTTTAAAGGATTTTACTTTACCTTATTTTGAAATTTTTTGAGATTTACAAAATTTAAATCAACAAATATCTAGACAATGCAAATTACAAAAGACAGATCTACAAAAATTAAAGTTTCTGGAGCTTGTACATGACAATTAATATTTATTTTGCTATAGTGATATAGAATGTAGTTTTTTAATTAAGTACCTTAAAATTAAAACTTTCTATTCCATTCCAACAATTGCTGCATATTAGGCATTTGCCAGAGTATGATGTCAGCAACAAGTTAAAGCTCTACATTATTTATACAATGTACAACTGACATTGGGTAGCCTGGGCTATGTAATTACTTTTATAACTACATGCATTTATCAATTGATAGTCATAGCCGGTAGTCCTAATAATCAAAATGGCGAAGGTTTCTGTGAAGCTGGATTTTCTGTGGGTATATCCAGTACCCCAATATCAAAAAGTGTGAGTCTATTCATATAATTTTCATTAATTTTATTTCATTTTTAGAACTTCACAGGTCCAGTTCTAATGATTGGTACACCTGGCAGAGATGCCAGTGCAGGAGGAGTGTTCTATTATAATCCATTGGATACTCTTAATGATACTTTTATTCGTCTAGTTGATGGACGAAATATCACCTTTTATTTCAATTCAACTTCAACTGTTCCATTGGATGGTAGCTTAGTAGGACAAGCACCTACTGTTAGGCCATCAAATCATGTAGGATATCTATCAGGTCCTATTAATGTACCAGATCAAGCATTTTCATACTATGGTAATTGTCTTAATAGCTCCTGTCTCAATAAACCTGTTTATACAAGCAAAAATCTCCAATTTTCCTAACCTTATTCTTTTCATTGTTTTATTTCATGCTCATTGTTTTAGGCTTTGCTCTTACTAGTGGTTTCTTAACCAATCAAACAGTCAAAGGTATAGTCTATCATGTGTACACATTTTAGAATATTTTTGTATGTAGTACAATTTTTTTATTCTTATTTTCTTATTTTTATCTTTCTTCTCTTTTTTAGATCTAGTTGTATCAGCTCCCAAGTATAATCGAACTACACAAGTTGGAAGGGTAAGATATACCTATCACTAAAATTAAATTATATTAAATACTCAAAACTGTCAAAATACAAGGTACTTGACTTGATCATTTTGCTAATAGAATCTACAAGTTTCAATGTCATGAAATAATTTAATTGTATTATCATCATTAGGTTTATATTGTTACTAATCCTTCTAAAGTTCCAACATTATTCATTGATGGAGATCAGGTAATTTTTATTATTTTTGTTTTCTATACTAGTTTGTTTGACAGTTTGGTGAGCAGTTTGGATATTCAGTTGCAACAACAGATCTTAATGGAGATGGGTATAATTTATAATGACATTGTTATTGTTGATATATTATTAAAAACAGTTTGTGTAACTTTAAACTTTCATTTTTATTTCACAGTGTACTCTTCATACACACCTTTTGCTACTTTCACACTCTTTATTTTCTCTCTTTTATAGTTGGGATGATATTTTGGTAGGTGCTCCATTTTACATTGACACATTTAGACGGCATTTTGAGTCTGGCCGAGTAGCTATTTATAGAAATGATGGAACAGTAAGAAATTATTAAGAGAAAGAAAGAGAGAGGAAGACAAAAAATTATACATGGAGAAAAAGAATTAGTTTTATAGTCATTTCACTTTTTATAGGGCACTGGTAATTTTGAGTACAGTGGATCAGTGCTAGGTCAGACTAACTTTGGCCGTTTTGGAATGTCTCTAGCAACGCTTGGTGACATTAATAATGATGGATATAATGGTAATAATAATTAGTAACAAAAATAAATAATAATTGGCCATGTAGATTTTGCAGTAGGTGCTCCATTTGATGGTGATGGTGTTGTTTATATTTATTATGGACAAAATGTGAATGGATCTATTGTGAATACCACCATACAACAAGTACAGAATATTAACTATTTAGCTAATGTATACTTTATAGTCATTATACATTGCCAATCATTAAACTTTCTGTAGTGCTATTTCAGAATGCTGTCTTGTTGGTTTTAGGTGATAAATGGTACAGAAGTTGCAGGTCAAGTCACTAATCTTACTTCAGTCAGTTCATTTGGGTTCTCTCTTTGTGGCAGCACTGATATTGATCAAAATGAGTATAGAGGTAAGCCTATTTCCGACTAAATCGATTTAAGCATAAACCAATCTTAACTTTAATGTAATTAGTATTTTAAAACTTTATTTCTCTTCTTTCTTCAGATCTGGTAGTTGGTGCTTTTGAGTCACAGAGTATATTTATATTACGTACTATACCAGTTGCTGTAGCTAATATCAGTTTCAATATTAATGTCCCTATTGTGGTTATAAACACTTATGATTGCTCATTTCAAGGAGTTGTTCAAAGTACATGGTAAGAAATACTTTCAAAAGTTTTTCAAAAGTAATTAATTGAAATTGAAAACTGTACTACTTTCAAAAAACTACCATGTATTTTTTTTTCTAAAAATTGACTCCAAATTGCTCACATTTAATTTGGGATCACAGATATTATTGTGTTTATATTGTTGGTATATTAAACATTGATATTAATCCTTGTAATACCATTATTGATGATAATTACACGTACACATATGTCTCTTATTTAGTTTTCAAATAAATGTAACTTCATCTTACACTGGGAAAGGTCTAGCACTAGGATTCAGTAAGAATTTGAGTACCTGCAGACAAATAATTTTAAAAATTGTAGGTACTACTTATGTTTTGAGTGAGGTTAAAGCATCAGGTTCTGCTGCTCGTCTGTTCTTTGACAATCCTTCATCATCTTCAACAAGACGTGGTATAACATATACTGGAGTTAATGTAACAGTGGCAGATACTGTTGTGGCCTATGTGAAGGTATAAAATGAATAATGTTGAATGTGTATAATTTTTGACTGAATAAAACAGTAGCTAGTGTTATATATATTTTTCATTTACAATAATAATTATAATACTCTAATTTTAAACTTTCTCTTTCTTCTTCTTTAGAATACAACTGATTTTGATGATTTTAAGCTGAGGGTTCAGTTGGAGCAGATACCACGAGACAATACTCCAGTGGATACTAACATTAATGTTACTAGCTTCTCACAGTCTCTTATTATCCAGTCAAATTCTTTTCAAGAAAGTGTAAGGAGCATTTTTTTATTTTTGAGGCAATTTTAATTATAAAAGTTTAGATGTTTTGGACCAAATTTTTTGAAAAAAAGAACTTTGTTTTAACCATTACAGCTAATTTTAAAATGCCTATAACCACTCACACTTTTACATCGCATTTAAGAATGTGTTATCAAGAATTCATTATTAAAATTAACTAACTTGAACTGTTTATAGATATCTGTTCGAAGGAACTGTGGATTGGATGGTGTGTGTGTTTCTGATCTTGTTTTAAATATTCCTAGTGTTGTGTTTACGTAAGTATGCCTTAAGTATAATTTATTAATAATATTATTATTAAATAAAAAGTCCTTTGCTTAATCCATCAAATTATTTTGCAATTATCAGTACCCTCATATTCACCAAGTTACATTGATATTGTATTTTATTATTCTTAAGGTCTGATGATGGTACTGTCTATAGCAGGATTGAGGCTGGTTTTGTAAGCAGGATTACTATCACTGTAACAATACAGAATAATGGAGAAGACTCTTATAATCCTTACCTGAATATTACTATACCTAAAGCTAACTTGAAACATGTGGCAAATGTAAGTGATGCAGAAAAAATAGAGATTGAATGTACTTGTATAGTTTGGCATGCAGATCAATAAGTAGAGGGATGAGTGGCTCATGTAGCAAAGTAATTAGCACTTGAAAAAAACTTTTATTTAATGGACTTTTTGTTTTATGTACAAATTAATGTATTTAATGCATTATGAGCAGATATAGGATCTAATATTGTTCCTTGTACAGGGAATTTCACCAAAAATGACTAGGAAAGAAGTTTTTATAATTTCTTCTGATGTATATTTATGTGCATGTGTTGTGTAAGGTGATTCCAATCAAAATTGCAAATTTTTAATTTGCTTAAAATTGGTCCAAAGTTCCTGAACTATAGTGCAGGGTTGTTTGCCAAATTTTTCCAACAATTAAAAGGAGAAAATTTTCTATTTTTATAAGTTTTTAATACGTATAAATGTACATTGTATTGTAGAAAGCTTGAGATGACTCCGATAAAAATAAAATTTTTATAAATTTTTGAAATTGCTCAAAAATTAGGTCAAAGTCACTCTACTATAAGTACAGGGTCGATTGCTAAATTTCACAAAAAATGAAAAGAAAAAAATTTTTGAGTTTTAAATTTTTTCCTGATACATATACATGTTTTTACGTTTTGTATCAACTTTGAGTTGATTTTGATCAAATCTGAATTTTTAAAATTGTTCCAAAATCAGGCCAAAGTCCCTGTACTATAGTACAGTGTCATTGGCCAAATTTTGGCAAAAACTAAAAGAAAAGAATTTTCCATTTTTATAATTTTTTCTGATGTATATACATGCATTTGTGCTGCATAAAGAAGTTTAAGGTGATTTTGATAAAAATAGAATTTTTTATGAATTGTGACCATAATTGACAAAAGGGCCCTTATGGCGGATTTTAAAATTGATCTTAATAATGGCAAATATCAACCTGTGAGTGCTTTGTTAGACAATCATTGTTTCTAAAAGTTTCATGGTAACTTTTTGTATCCTGTGGAGTAATTTTATGATAAATGGGGCTCAGGAAGTTGGATTTCTTAGGCTAGAAAGACAAATTTCACTACCCGCCATAAGGTACCTTTTGTCAATTATGGTCACAATTTTTAAAATTGCTCAAAAATTGGGTCAAGACCATGCAATGTAATGAGTGCCATAGAGTTTTCATTTAAAACGGCTACAAGAGAATATTCCATTTTTGCTACATTTACTTTGATTTTTAGACTCAAGATCAATGCAATGACACTTCTATAAATTCACTTGTCTCAACTGTGATCTGTTTCAATGTTCTCCCTTCAATACTCACCTCAAGGCATGGCCCAATAAACTATGTCATCAAACTAGATGTAATAGATATTGATGGTAATGTGGATAGCCTTCCCATTGAAGTATCTGTTAAGAATCCTGATGAGATTTACAGTCGGGAAGATGTGGTTAATAATAATGGAGTGTATTTGAGCTTAGATGTTGTGGCCATTTCTACATACAGGACTGAAATGTGAGTTTTAATTAAGTTATTTATAGTACATGTATATACCTTTCATTTTGTCTCTTTTATGTGCTATTTTTAACCTAATCTAAGCTCTGGAGTTACAATTTGTACATGTACATGTAGACTTTTAAAATTAATTTAATTACTTTTCTTGTTGTAATCTATTATCATGTACTTTTCCATAAATGAACAAATCCTAAGCCAAATTCAATATAAGTAATGGAACAATTTTAGAGTAAATTTATGAAAAAGTGAACTAGTGAAGATAACATTTTTCAAATGCTGAATGACATTATTTAACGAGTGGATAATTTAATCATATTATAATACTCTTCCTAGTCTGTGGTCTGCAAGGCAGATATATTACAATGGAAGTGGCTCTACTTTTATTAACAGCATTACCAGTTCACCTGGATCACAACTCAACCTAACAACTGCTCTGTTGAAAACACTTGGAGCTCAAATAAGAAGTGGCACAATAGCAGTATACATACTAGCCAGCAGCAATGAGAATGAAAACTACTTCTATCCAGCAAGTATAATTGTAAGAGCTATTGAAAGTAGATGAATGGAGAAATATAGATTTATTATAGTTAATATTTTTTCTTTACAATAGGCAAGTAATAATGTTTCCTGTGATGAGTCACAACTCAGTTCTCAAGGTTTCACGTATGTAATGGACAGACTGCAAAAGGACACTGGATCTAATAAACACAAGAGATCAGCAGGTGGACTTCATCCTGGTCTTAGTACTAGACAGTCAAATCCTGGAGCAAGGGTGAGCTATATTGAGTATATCATAATTCTAGTAGACAAAAAGCTATTGGCTTTTTTAGTAGCACTTACTTTTTGTGATATTAAAAATAACATTTTAATGCTGAAAATTTCAATCACCAAACACAATGATGCGTGTACTTTGGCAAATTGTACTGACACACATGAGGTCAATATTATTTTCTTTTTTCAGGGTTGTGCTGGGTCAGACACCACTCGCTGTATTACTATTGTATGTAACTTCACTTCATTGAAGGAAAGAATTGAATTGACTATCACTGGATATTTGAATGAAAGATTCTTTACTGTAAGAAGGATGGAGGGAGGGAGAGAGTGATATACAAACTCTATTATTGTATTGGCAGTAATGTGTTGATGATTTTGCAGCCATGCCTATGTGTACAATGTATGTGACTCAGAATCATTAATTCCATGGAATTTCTAATGGCCAAATTTATTCGGCTGTTATATTGCATATGCATGTAATTTTAGGGTAAAACTGAATCATACCAGTTGTCAGCTTTTGCTCAAGTTAATGTCACTGATGGATTAACCTTCACTTCAAACGACTCTATCACTGAAGCAGAGGTAAGGATTGGAATAGGGCATGATGAAAGTTGATGTATTTTGCAACTTTATACCCATCCACTTTTTGTTGTAATTTATTTTTTTCTTTTTAGAGTATTATTAGTGTCATAAGACTGAATGATAATATAGCAGAGGCTGAGTTAGGATTACCATGGTATATTCTTTTATTTCCCAGTCTAGCTGCTCAGCTAGTCTTTGTCATTATGCTGACACTACTTTGCTTTGTAAGTATATAATATAAACAAAATTGAAAACAGTATTATTTCAACTCCCACTGCTTACAATTTAATTGACTTTTCAGCTGAGTCTGCTTATATTACTTCTCAAATGGGAAGTAATATCAAATGAGAATACTAGAACACAACAGTGTTTGTTTTATCATTGAGATTTGAGAAGATCATATTACATCAGTTCAACTGTCTCATGCAGTTTCTATTCCTTTAGTTGGGTTTCTTTAAAAGAAAGAAGTATCATAAAGTTGACGTGACTGGAGATGAAACATTTGAACTTAGTCCATTGGAAATAGTAAGAGAAGAGAATGCAGAAGTTGCTCCCCAAATTAACTAGATATGTTTGTCTAATTTAATTTTTTATTTTAGTGATTAGATCTAGTATATCCATGCACTCTTAGTCATAATCAATGTTCTTTTTGATGTCCTTTCTTATCCATTATGTCTTTACATATTGGAGTAATAATATGCAGTGCAATTTATGATTAAAAATAATTAAGCTGTCTGCAGCACTAGAATGTAGTCTATTTTAACTTAATTTAATTTAATTTTTAATTTTTTAAATTTTATATTAAGCATTTTTTTAATTTTAATTTTTTAATTTAGTTTTGAATTTTTTATTCTTACTTTATTTTTGTATTAATAATTTTATTTTTTATTTTATTTATTAATTTTTTGTATTTCTCTATTTTATTTTTTTATTTTAATGTGTTTTAATTTTTTATTTTCTTAATTAAAAAAAAATAATTTATTTTATTTCAAATTTTTTCTTTTTTTATCTATTTATTTTTTTAAAATTAAATTTAAAATTTATATTTTATTAATAATGTTTATTCTTTTTTTACAATTATTATTCTATTTTTGATTTTTGTTATTTTTAAATTTTAAATTTTTAAATTTTAGATTTAAATTTTTTATTTTTAATAATTAATTTTTATTTTTTTTAATTTTTAATTTATTTTTAAAATTTTTAAACTTTCATTTTATTTTTTAAATTTGAATTATATTTTTATTTTTATTTTTAAATTTTTAAATTTTTAAATTTTTTGATTAAATTTTTTTAATTTTTAAAATTTTTAATTTTTTTTAGAAATTTAAGTATTATTCATCATGATACCGTAAATAAAGTAAAATTTTCTTGCCGCCATTTTGGAGTTGGAGTCCTAGTTCCAATGGTTGTCTGTGCGTACCGTACTTAGAATGTAGTATTTATGGCCTATGGAGCGATCTAGTCTTGCGTAGCCAGACCCATCCCCCCTTTTAAAAATTTTGACAGCCGTCTAAATGTCAAAAAGGGGGATGGGCCTGGTTACGTGGGACTAGGATCAATTGTGAAAAGAGCTAATTCTCCAATGACTGCTGTATTTGTGACAGCAATCTTATTATACAGTATATATATACTTATACACACTCACAGTCACACGTGGTATTGCAATGAATACGATTAGTGTGTTCACAATCTTAATTAATTGTCATGTTTAAAGATTAAATGTCATGATTAGTCATGAAACCACACA